TTAATTCCTCTCTCTCTACGATTTCGCTGGTGAGCGTTATGACGGTAGTGGTTGTGGTGGTGATGATGCCCAGCGTGATGATGATGATGACCGGCACCGCCGTGCTGAGTTCGCGTGTACGCTACGGCATTATCAAATGTGTCCATGCTATCGAAGCCCTGCCCATATTCTGCTCCGCTGAAAATTTGCATGGAAACCGTTTCTACGGAAAGGATCTTAGCGCGGGTCGCGCGTATCCATTCCGACATACGTTCTCGAATCTGTAACGTCAGTAAGTATTGTACCGGTTAGGTATCGCGATCTGGTTGGTTCAGTCTGCGTACTGAATTTACGATTATAATCATGCTTACCGTACTATTAATTTAAACACATATTCGTGCACAAATATACGCGTTATTATGCATTCTTATTTCGAACTTTGAGATATAAATCAACAGAAAATGAGGATTGAGAATTGCTCGAAAACAAAAACGTCAGTGAACGAGTTCAGTGCCATGTACCAGGCTATTTCCCTTGAATGTTAGACGTTACTAATACTAATGCCTGGGCTTGATTTTCGAATTTACCCACGGAGCAGCACCCCGGTGACGCTAGTATTCCCGGCGTAAATAATCTGGAATTTAGTCGCACTTGTCCGGCACTACTCTGTCCCGGCATATTGGAATTCGTCAGAACGAACGCCATACGTAGGTAGCGTATGTAGAGCGCATGTATATTATTCTCTTTGTACGCCATCTGCAGCGTATCTATAGCCATGGTATCCTGCTGATATTTATAATGCACCGTCTGGACATTCGTTACACGCAGGTACGCTGGCTGGTCGGATAGCCACTGGTGCGCCTTGGACAGCACTCGTGGAAACTCCTCCCGAACCGTTCGACCTTCCCGGGCTTCACCCACTTTATTTGGAACGAAATCGCAGCTCCCGATGGATTCGGACTGCGGCGCACCGATTACGTAGAAGATGCGCAGCATGTTGAGCACAGTCTCGCTAGTGGAATCGCGCTTATCCGTCCATGCCGTACAGTCCGGGTCGGTACCCCAGCCGCTGCTATAGACGCGCAGTGCTACGGTTTCGATGGTACGGATGCGGCCGGGAAGGGGATGCGTGGCGAACCGGGCGTTGGCTTGGGCGATGAGGGTATCCAGACGTTCAGCGGTGGCGATATCGATAGGCACCCCAATCTGCATTGTGGGCATGACGTTATAGTAGCCAATCTGCTCAGCGGCCACCATGCCATACCTGCCTAGAAATCAGAAGGTCATGTACGGCCAACTGGGACATTTTTCGGAGTGGGCTCCTAAATCGTTAGAGGTTAATTGCTTTTTCGGAAGAGAGAGCCAGTTAATGTAATAACACTAATAAATGTTCCAGAAATCAACTGATACCGTTGCATATATTTTGTAAACAGTTGTTTATTTGAGCGGCTGCGGTGCACTATGACATTACTAAATCGAATAAGCGCCCCATACATTGCTGTTTAACACTGTTATGTAGTGTTGGGTAGTAAAAGTCCTTGCCAATATACTTATTTTTACTATCTGCTTTTGGAAGTTTACTTATTTTTACTTACTATTTAAAAATTTCTCGGGACTTTTACTTACTTTTTACTTACTATTTCAATTTTTTCCAAGGACATTTACTTACTAAATTAAAGTAAATTTACTAAATAAATGTAATTAGGACTGAAAGTGTCGAATTGCGTTAGTTTCAAAGCGCTGAAAAGTACTGAAAATGGCGCAGAAAATTTTCTTATGCATTAATAGAGCTATACAGCCATGCAGGCGCATACTGAAAACAGTGAAAAGTAAATACTGCTGCTTTTTAGGGCGGTAGGCTGTCAGCCAACTACTGCGCACACTCACTTTACCTGCGAGAGGCGGCGGCTAACAAGCCAATTTTACATAACGCTTGATAAAACGAATTAGTAAATAATTTAGTAAATGATTTTTATTTAGTCAACGCTAAACCTCAATATTTACTTACTTTTTACTATTCCGGCAGCACATTTACTTACTTTTACTTATTTTGTTTCCAAAACCTTACTATTTACTAGACTTTTAATATTAGGCGGACTTTTACTAAGTAAATGGCCGTTATTTAATTTTATTTAGTAGCACAACACTACTGTTATGGGAGAAACAGTCTTACCTAACGTTATGGTTATGCATAATCCGCTTTTATCTCTGAAACAACTGTCTTGCATTGGTCGACAAGATAGATCGTTCTTTTAAGTTGAATTGAGCAATGCAGTGCTAATTTGCCGTTACATCATAGTTTACATTGAACTGCAACTGAGTCTGAATGCATTTTAGATGGCATATTGCATAAGGTAAGTTGCATTATACAAGGTTCGTTTTCTACGTTATAGACGCAGTGACTTCCAGAGTTCATTAAGAGTTTTCAAATGGTTTTCAAACGGAAAGTGACAAAGTTGAATACTACTATGCACACCACACATATCCCTATATTCTTCCGATCAGAAATTAGAATTTAATGTAGTCATGGATAGCGTTTGGGATAATGATAGCTCACTTTTTATAAGATTTTATTTCTCAGTATGTACAAAGCGAGCTTCGCTCAACAATTATATTCAAATGAAGAATTTGTCCCAATTTACATGAGAAGGGACTGTGCACAATACACTCATAGCATTACGACGCATAATCTCCAAACTTAAACGTTGAAACAAAAAACAAGTCGAGCGACTCTCGCCCGTTCTCAAATACAGTTTCTTTCCAATCTCCTTTAAGGTAACAATGCCAGTCTCACACCAAGTGCCAAAAGTCTCGCACGCAAAGGCGACAAAGTGAGATACCAGGTTAATATAACAGAACGCAGGTTTTTGTGATAGTAGTGCAATAACTAATTTTTGAAATAATTATATACCTATAAATAATTATGATTTAGGTATGCAGATACTTTTTTCAAGCCGCACATCAGACTTCTGCAGCAAAGGAATCGAATTACCTTCGAACTCCGAAGCATCCACTTTGCCTTGTTACAAACAACTCGGAGAAACAACAACAAAATTGATAGGTCGCGGGGATATCTTTTATCGTGCGAGCAGGTGGCCATGTCGAAAGTTTCGCTCCCATATATGGGTAAACTTACAATTCTAAAGAATTTTCATATCGTATCAGTATCATTAAACTGTAATTTTTTAGGTCAGAGTCTCCTCGCAAGTGTTTCTGATCCTTATCGCATGGATGTACTTAGTGCTACAGGGTGTTCCAGTGGAGAAGTGGGAGAAATTTTCATCGCATACGATAACATGTGCAATCTGGACAAAATTCGGGCAACCAAAGTATTGCTCCCCGCTGCCGTACCCATACAATAGCCTTTGGATTAATGGAATGACAAAGTGATTGACGGGTTTCATTTGTCCAATCACAAGAGCGGAGATTGCCACACTAAGTACAATCCGGAACACATCAAACAAATCCATCCTAATCTAGAGACAAGCAACACCCAGGCATGCGAACAGACCTTTAGTTGGCTTGGTGCCTTTCAGTATGCATTGTTTCAAATGCCTAAGTATCATCAGATATTTTTTCTCCATCGCATCGTGCAGCGCCGCAATCAGTACCTGGAAAAGATGATTCTGTGGACTCAGCCTACTTTATAATGTTCTGTATTATAAGGTGTTATAACTTTGTGAATGTTTTGCTAGTGACACAAGTACAAATTGGGCTCGAATTTAGAATCATTCCGAATGTATGCCACTGCTTAGTGCACTGTGTTATTCTGTGTATTAGCCAGAAGTTCTGCAAAAAATTTCTAAACAAACTCCCATAAAATCCTCGCGTTTTAATGTTTTTTTATCGCGTTTCATGACGTTTCAACGAGCTTGATTTGGTTTCAACACGTTTCAACGCGTTTTAGTTAGTTTCATCGCATTTCAGCAAGTTTCAATGAGTTTCATCACGTTTCAGTTAGTTTCATCACATTTCAGCAAGTTTCAACGGGTTTCATCACGTTTCATCGCGTTTCAGCTAGTTTCAACGAGTTTCATTACGTTTCATCGCGTTTCAGTTAGTTTCAATGAGTTTCATCACGTTTCAGTTAGTTTCATCACATTTCAGCAAGTTTCAACGGGTTTCATCACGTTTCTTCGCGTTTCAGTTAGTTTCAACGAGTTTCATCACGTTTCAGTTAGTTTCATCACATTTCAGCAAGTTTCAACAGGTTTCATCAGGTTTCATCGGGTTTCGACGGGTTTCATCGGGTTTTCATCTAGTTTCAGTACGTTTCGACGAGTTTCGACTAGTTTCATTGCGTTTCTAAGTGCTTAGTTCTGGTTTTTCTGGCTTTTATTTTCTTTGAAATAACTGTTTCGGCGTTTCGTGGGAGTACAGGGAACTCTTTAGAAAAACACCCTAACTCGGCGATACTCTCGAATAAAATCCACGGAGTCCAGTCCGGCGGCGTGATGTGCCGTCGCTGGAAGGTGAGCAAGGCTAATCACATCGTTTCCCGTGGCATCGGGTGGTGGATAAGCTGAAGCGTCTCCCGATTGACCCATTTTACTCAAGCCTGATTTAGCACAAGTATTAACTGTTTATACGAGTAGAACTCTTATAATAAGTCTGCAAGATTGGCGAGAATTTATGTCCTTACAGAAACATTTTTTCATTGTTCAACCGGACTGGTGATAACGACTGACGATCATAATATTATTATTGAGCTTTATCAAAACCTAGTTGTAATACTGCAGATTACAATACAAAAGTGCTGGATTAATTCTGAGATAAGGCAGTCAATTCTAGCAATAAATTGTTCTCTACCATGGTATGCAGAAATTTCCATATCCATATTGATATCGTACATAGTACTGATGTAGTACTCATCAATGGTTGATTTGTCTAAGGCAATCAGCGGCGCTTTCTCTTTGTTTAACCTGCATGCACACTAAAGTAACCAAATTCTGCCTATTATGCACACCCTAACAAAAAAAGAAGGCGCAAAATAATGCAAAAATAAGTACGAATGTTGAATAGTACCTAATAATAATGCAGAGTATAAATTCTATAGAGGTACTAATAATACATAATTAACTGCGCAACTTATTCAGGGTACCACAAGATAGCGCAAGAGTGAGTAGTACTCTGTACAGAAAGTAAGACACGGTCATGTTGCACTTCATGCTCAAAATAAAGTACAAATACGAGTTTAGAGTGGATGGAATAATGTGTTATAAAAGCAACCAAAGGAACATAATTTTTGTTAGTCGACGAACTCCAACTTGTCTTCCCCTTTTCCGTAGAGCTTCTTATGGGTATCGAAGAGCATCCGCAGCTCATCCAAATATCGTCGATGAGCTGTATCAATCTCCTCCTAATTCAAACCATTTACGGTATGAGCTAGTAGTTGCAATACATGCGGATACGATACTTACAGTACCTTTTAGAATATTATATTAGATGTAATAAGCTTTGGTTTAGTACAAAATTATAATTATTTTTCAAATTCGCGTAGTATACCCCCAGTTAAATAATCCGGTGGTCAGAGCGAACCAAAACGCAAAAGTGCAGTATACTAGCTGGTACCGACAGCAGGAATACGAATGTGTTGTTTTTCTTTGGATTTTTTTCCATATCTCTGGGTGCAAAGTAACAGTTTAAAAGTTCAGTTTATTATAATTCACGACATCAACCGGCTTTATTATTTGTCTTGTTAGACTTACGCCGTAGCCCTAGCCGTCTAGCGTCATTATGATAATCTACTTTTTCCTTTGACGTATTGGTCATTTTAATTTCGTGCGTGCCGTACGTAATTAACCACAGTCTACCTACTTGACTTGGATCATCGTTTTGGACCGTCGGGATCGGGGATCCAACTACGACGGTAATGGGCTTCCGGTGCGGTAGAATTCCGAAGGTGTAGTTGAATATGCCTCTGCCGTTAAACAGTACCGGAGCATACCCGGACTTGACCTGGAACAACCGCTGGAGCCTGTGAGTCCACGACCCAGGTTGGCTGTTATGTACCAAACGGTAAATATCGTTTTCTCCAAAGGCGAACGTCGGAACCAGGTGTGCCCTTGAAAAAGTGACCAATGCCGTGTCATAACAATCTGCGCCGAAAACACGTACTATAATGTCATGACAATATGGCATTGCATGAAAACGTGGCTGGTATTGGCTAGTCAGAGACTCTCAGAGTCTCAGTCACCGCCTTTACCAACGATCAACGGCAGTTTGAAATCGGACTTTGACGCAAAAACGGCTGTGGACATCTTGCCGTTAGCGTAATCAACAACAAACTGCTTCCAGATTGACAAAATTATGATCAATAACAAACGCACCCGTGCGGTCGTATGGTAGAACGAACAAGCATTCACAATTTCAAATAGAGAAAAAGGAAAGGTGCAAAAAGAAAGTGATATCATGCGGAAGTAGAAACACTTGGGACTTGGAGCAATATTCGCGGCAATGCGAAGTACATGCTCGCACTTAATGAAAATGGTCCGGCACATGGTGTCAGAAATGGGATACATACACTAAAACTTTCGCTTCGCGCACTCCGAATCACTTTTCTGTAACACTTTGTGTCATTCCAAAGCTAAACGATTTGTATAGTTATATTATTCTGAAAACCGTTTGCGTGCGCAACATCCGGTTGCCGAGATATGGCGAACTAAAATGGGCGAAAACTTTAAAGGCATTGTTGTGTACCAAAAGACTGGTTACCCGATCTTCTTGAAACTTTGCTGTAAAAGACACATGGCCATAAAGTCGAAAGTGAACCAACATCAGATACATAGCATGTTTTTCCGATTTTAAAATGAATTCGGAGTGCGCGAAAGCAAAAGTTTTAGTGCATGTATCCTATTTTTAACACTAAGTACCTGGCCATTTTCCTTAAGGCTGCTCACAAAAAATCGAATTTAGACCCTGCACCACCAGACTGCTGAGCGAAGTGCCTGCTGATGCAGACATTTCGTTGACGACACTCGGGGAACCGAAAAACATTCCCCGAAGTACATTAAGGAAGCGTAATGAAGCTTAAAAAGCCTAAGAAATTCTTGGATAACCTTATTAAAACTTAAGAAGTCTAATTTTCAGACATATAAAAATTTAAAAAATTTATGGAAATCCGAAAAATGTAACAAAATGTCGGGAAGCAAACCTGAGGTCATAATTATGATTGACGTGTACCAAAAATTTCTTGTCACACTAGGACACTTGCATAGAAAAATGAGTCGAAGCTGCCGAAACAGTTATGAAAAATAGAGTTCTAATGCACATACTGGCACATACAGGCTTCTCCATTGGTTACGTTTGTTAGCGTTGCTTACCCGTACTGAATGGCAATCTTCACAAAACCTGTAAAAGCAGTTGTTGCCATTAGACCTTATAAAGCGCATACTGGGAACTTCAAAGCTACTATGTCTTTCTACCCGTCGTACAGATGGTTACCATTATTTTTGCAATGTTCGTCCATGGGACCATGCATACAGATAAGTTGCGTTACAACCGACAATGTCAATAACAGGTTATTTCGAAAAACACAAACTACTGTACTTAATCAAATCAGTCAAATAAATGAATGCTCAGTAATGCTTAAAATGAGGAAACGTGTTTAACTATAACAATTTGCCGTATTAAGATAAAGATGTCTTATCATCGGACTGGCCAGTCACCGCCCCACCGGTACCTTTTCGGTTTTCAAAACCAAATTTGTGCCAGGTTGTGTATGGAAAACCTCTTTTGCGCCACCAACCACAATAGCAGTGGCTGTTCCTGGTCCCTGCTTCATAAGGTAGGCAATGCTTTCTTTGCTGACATCACACAGACCCAACGACATGACATATTCACGGTACAGCGGCAGCTGATGCAGCAGTTTTAGCGACAACAGATGCAGCTGGATGCCCGGGAACACTTTACTGAAATCCAACGATTCAGTCACGAACGAGCACAAAAACCCGATGCCCATGATGCCATGCGGGTGGGCGCCCAGAATGTACTTGTAGCGAGGATCCAGTTCGGCTGTCTTGACCAGCCGCACCGGGAAGTAATCCCGCACCCAACGCCAGAGGGTCCAATGACGCACCCACTGATAACGTCGTCCACCACGCGAACTCCGATCCCAATCGTACACATACCACACAGCGTAGAGGAGGGACAGCCAGCTTAGCGAGGTGAAGAGGAGCATGAAGAGGAGGATGGTGCTGGCCAGTCCCATGAACAGGAATGTACTGACGTGGAACAGCACCGCTAACGTCTGCAAGCGGCGCTCCAGCGGGACATGGAGCGGCGCCAGCTGGACGCCCAAAACTTCCATAATGTTTCAGCTTATCTTTCTCTCGTACTTAATTTAAAATACACATGTGGTAGAGACTTTGGAGGTTATTGACAATTTGATGAAATAAATGAACTATGCTTCCAAACGAAATGCATGAGTTACAGGGAGCAGGAACGATCCACTGGCTAAGAGGTACAAACCGAATCACAGCGATCCACTTCAAATGAAATACAGCTTTAATTTTAAATTATAGTGTGCTTGACCAGTAAATACTGTATCATGCACTCCGTGGTCCAGTTTAACTGAAGATGCCGAACAGATACATGCGTGAAAAGTTCCCAAGCGGATCAGAAAGGCGTGTGCTCCGGGCCTCCGGCACCGACGTCTACACGTTGCAGAAGGAAACCTATTTGCTAGCAGAGAACTCTTTTAATCACTCAAATCCCACACGCTGCTCAAAGCCGTCTCATAACTCTGAACACTGTAACTTTGGTATTGAACACCCGTCTGCGCCCTAGAGGCACACAGCAAGCAAGCTGTGACTCACTGATTGTGCACTGTCCACAGACAGAAAAGCAGACTGGCAGACACTGCACTAGATCGAAGCGCAGTGTAGGTACATACATCCTACGCTCGCAGGACTACGAGTAGTTAAACAATCATGATGAAAACTGTTTATAGCCAGTTACGAAACAGAGGCGGCTTTAACGGAAATACATCCGGATAGCTTTCAACCATAGTTAAGTTAAATGGGAGAACGAGATATATCAAGTTTTGACAAACAGAGGGAAAGAAATCAAGATTGTACTCCTACTTGGGACGAATGCGATCTGGTGGACGGAATGCGAAACTGTATTCTGCAAGCGGTCGGAATGCGAGTAAAACCGAAGTATGCGCAGTGCGCTGCCCAAAACAAAGACCGCTAATAATCTGATTGCAATTCCACATAGTAGCTAGTTTACAAAATTAATCTTTATCACATTTGCCATCATTTGAAAAAAGCTAGAAGAGACAAGACTGATTCACTGTACTCTGCTGCGCGATCGTTGTATTACATAGTGCCACATATAAATGACTTCCGGTGCAAAGCGACTTTGATTAAATCAAATTTTGATAGTGCTCTGAATAATACGAGCATCTGTGCGCTGCGCAGTGTAATTTCACCTGTGGCGAATCCGGTTTGCGCAGTGTAATTCCACCTGTGCCGAAGCTGGTTTCGAGACAGCAGGCCTACGCAGTACAACATTTTCACTCTTAATGTACTGCGTTTTTCTTTTATTGCGAAAGGTATCGAGACTGTCGGCTCAGAGATAACCATCCGGTAAAAGCGTAGCATCTTCAAGACGAACAGAAAAACGCATGCGAGAACTTTTCAACTGTTTCTCTAGTTCCTGATGATGCAAAACATTATTTTATTACCCACTCCCGGATGGAGCTACGAATAACACAAAAAACACCTACAATGAACAGCGGTCAATAGTTACGACTAAGAGCTCGGATGCCGTTGTTGCCGTATCTAGGCGCAACAAGCTGACTGTGCCATGTGAGAGCGCAGAAATGAGAGGAGAATATCTGGGCCCGGTATATCAATTGGCTTTTGTGCCGCCCTGACGACTATCAGATTCTATTTTCGCATTGGCCTACGGTGTCCGCGTGTTTGGGAATCTGCTTGGTTGTTGCGAATACAGTTTCCGACGGTATATTGGCAAGAAATTATTTCTGGGAAGATCACCTGGCTTGGGCAGCATTGACGACGGTGTTCGTTGCTACGCCCGTTGTATTCGCGCTCAGCTATCGCTTGTGTTACAAGAGAGCCAAGTGGCAATTTGCAGTGCCAAGTGCATCCTGAGCAAATAAATAAATTACTAGCGGTGGTTGCGAACCAAATTATTGCACGAGCGCGCCAATACCACTGGGAAATGGTGGGGTTGTGGAACTGGAAAAGCGTGACGTACGCTCTTCGTGGCTTCAGACAAATTTTATGCTCTTGACGAAGACTTATTGCAGCACCTCGCGCTTCGCGCTTGGTGCAAATTAAACCAGCGGGCGATCGACAGAGGTGTTGCTGCACCTGAACTGTTTTGACAGGTTCCACTAATGTTGATTAAGTGCTGTTACAAGAAGCTCCGCGCAAACGCTTTCCATAGCGCAGTCGAAACTTTCGACTCGAAAGTCGACACCAAAGCAGATTCCATAGGCAGCCAGCTGCCTCGTTTAAACAACCGTCACGATTCTGACTTCTAACATCGCGTGCTACGCCAGACTTGCCACTGTGACGACATCGTCACTAGTCGCACTACGACCATTAGTCACCGGAAGCCTACGTGTTGGTATCCCCTGCACATTCCTGCGCGGTCATATGACGTAACGCTGACCGCATATTACATCATCATGCCGTCATGCACTCTGTCATTGGCTTGTCGCCACACCAGCCCAACCCATAGCAGCCGAGCCCATCCGGACCAGGACCATATATAAAGCACCCCTCCACACCGTACCAGTCAGTAGTCTGACAGTCTACCAGCAGACTCTCAGTCGACTGGCAAGGTGTAAAAGGTGGCATGGCACCTGCCACTGGCAGTTGCCACCGGCAGTGGCATGTGGCATTTCGCCACTGGCAAGCGGTAAAACATGGCAATTTTTAAAAGTGCGGAAAAAATTAGAAATCAGTCTGCCTTCAACAAAAGTAATCTAAAAACGGAATCGATTTCAATAAAGATAATTCTACACCTACAGATACTTGTCTGCGGCTAATCAACGACCTGTACCGCGTTTCCCACCGGAATGAACGCTGCAACGCTGCAAAGTAAATTTATGTATCGAAAGTTTCTAAAATTATTTTATGTCTTAAATGTTCGAAATTTTTAAAATTCTAAATTCAAAAATAGATAAATTTCCTTAATTTCTTATGCTTTCTTACTTTTCAGTATGTTTTCTTATGTTTTCTTTAGTTTTGTTTTATGTTATTCGGTTTTCTGTACTTTATGAAACTCGCAACACTGAGTATGCATCCTAGCAGACTATACAGCATGTCTTAAGCCGGGGCCGGAAATACTGTACATGGGAAGTTGGGGTTTTCGAGGATATTGCGGTTTTCCGGCCTCTGATTCGCCTCGCAATATTTTTTTAACGACGTACTACTGACAAAAACAATCTGCAGTAAGAGAGAATGCTAACCGACAATTCACTTTTCTTCAATTCTGTTGAGCGGCGTTTTGCAGAAAAATTTTTGCTGAAAGGCAGCTTGCTTGCCGGTACTAGAAAACCAGGTAAAAAATTAAGAAGCTCTAAGAAGCGATACCGATAAAGTGTCACAAAGCCAGAAAACCCAAAAAGACGTAAAATAGGAAAATTTATTACAATATAAAGAATTTATGAAATTTTTGTGCTACATAAGTCTATTTTGCGGCGTTTGAGCGCTCACTGCATTGGTAGGGGTGATACAGGTCATAGGCTGGCAACCGAGTGTCCTTAGATCTATTGACCTTAACTAACTGCGACAAGTTGGAAGAAGAAAGTTCTTGTACTGGTCCTTTAGGACACCTGTGGAACGTTTCGTACCAAAGAAAAAAAAAGTGAATCGTTTCTTATCCTTGTAGTCACAGTAGACATCTGTATACATGCTGTATACACCCTGCAGACCAATCAGTAGTCTCCTGGTTTCTTAGGATGTATGCAGCGTGTCTGGCGGTGTCTACTGGTTGTCTACAGATGTCTACCGGTGTACAGGCATGCCTTCTTAGGTTCAGCTGGATGTCTGCTGCTGTACTTCTATACATCTTCAGACACACTGTAGACTGCCCGTATAAACCCCTGTAGACATACTGTAGCCACCTGGTTTCTCGGTTTTTTAGGTTTTCTTAGGATGTATACAGGTTGTCTACAGGCTGTCCACAGGATGTCTACAAGTTGTTCTACAGATGTCTGCCGCTGTC